CGAAGCGGAAAGAATGGCCAGAAAAATGTTTCGGATATGTCATCGATAGGCTGCGAATCATTATGAAAATTCTTATTCTCATATTTAAAAAAAATTTCCTTCGTCAGCTGAACAATTGCTCGTTATAGCAACAAAATAAAAATGCTGTTAGACCACTGTTCGTTTATAAATTTCTTCAAGATCCAACGATTCGAGGTTCGATTCCCGCGCATCGCCGAGAGATAATCCATTCGCAGCGGAGCAGACTCATCGGCGCAAGTAGCACTTACTCTCTATAAAATAGCGAGCTGTCTTTTGTGCTCGGGAACCTCGGAAGGTTTCATAAACGAGGAACACAGGGGGGGAGGGGGGGAGGCATAAAACGCTGTTCGGTCGATTCGACAGCGAAGGGGGTTCCGAGCACGAAGGATGGGAGGTAGGGAAGAATCGGCCGCCATTTTGCGAGCGCAGCTTTTATCGCCGCGCCCTATATAGGAGCATTATGCCTGGGTTGCCGGGTTGCGCGTATATCAACAATAATTGCAGGGCCAATAATAAAGCCGGAGGGGCCACGCTCGATAGCCCGAAATTGCTGGTTCCCCTACCCCGGCCTGCAACGTTTTATTGCCTCCACTCTCGAGAGCAGGAATGGCGGCAGTCCCCTTCGTCCTTCTCGATGGCGGATAAACGATCCTGCGATACGATGCCACCGGTAGTGATGGCCAGTCGCCTAGCCTCTTCTCTCCTCTCGCGCAATTCCTACTGCCACATTGTCCCTGAACCCGCTCCTCTTTCGCGAAAGTGTCCATCGACTTTCGAAACCTTTCTCTGGCCTCGAGATTACTTTTTTTCTGAATGTTTCTGGCATCGATCTTCGTCCTTCGTTCCCCCGAATTCTGCCGAATTTATAGTTGTATGAAGCAGTCGTCCTATATCACTGATTCTACCCTAATTTATTAGTCATCTTGGTGACACAAAATCAGTCTATCCTTGACTAGCCTTACGCTTTCTTTGTCGATCGAAGAGTAATGAAAATGAATCTTAATAAACGCAGAAATATATTTTAACGATTGCTCTGATAACGGGATTGTATTTAGCTTATGTCTTGCACAGTGGTTTGTGCTCGACTAATTCTGCTTGTTACAATGTGTTTCCGTGTATCTACCGTGTGCTAATTTGGCTGAAATGATGGCATTGATCGCAACTTTGAAGAATCGTTGGAGAAGCCGTCCCCTGTCATAAATTCTACCTTGACTCGGCAGTGACCTTCCAGATCCAAAACCAGTCTAGTTTAACTTAGCTACGACTACAGCAACTTTGACGAAGCCTCCGCTGCTCGATAGCTTGCACACCCTGTATTTCATCACGCTAGCTCAGGGGTCTCGGTAACGAGGCTAATTGTACAACAAAACCGATTCTATTTACCCGGTCGGTATAATTCACCAAAACGAAGTTTTGGCACCGGGAGCACCAAAATTGCAGCAGACGAAAATAGACGTACGCGAGCGTAGAGTGTATAGTGCTAGTCGAAAATCGCGATTTGGATCGATGGAAGGCGTTTCTCGAGGCCATCGCTAGCCAGTCGATAGTTTCTCGCCGGTCTGTAGCCGACGCGCCTTGAGCATGGTTCGCCTAGTTACTTGCTCTCGCTATTATTATTGCAGATACTGCTGCCGTTTCCGCCGCTTCTTCTCGTCGTTACTCCCCCCGTTTGCAGTTGTTGTTGTCGTGGCCGGTTGTTGCTGCCGCGCAGCGTATGCCCGCTGTTAGAGCCGCGGAGAACAGTTCGGTACGCGAGGAATCGTTCGCGAGCTCGTAAACAGCAGCAAAGGAGAGCTCGCACGCGCGATAGTCACGAGTATTGCCCTTGTTAACGCCCCGTTAACTCGAACCTCTGGACAAACTCGTAAAATTTACCGGCTCCGAACCGGCAACGCAACCGCACGCTGCCGCGCGGCGATGTTGCACCGCTGCCGTTGGATTTTCGCGTGACTTTAAATCCACCGAGAATTATGTGCTTAACGCAAACGCCCGTTTAGGGTGCCGCGGGATGCGGGAACATCGGCTGTCCGCGTCCCCCATCTATGCAAAATTCTCAGACCGCAGTCGTTACCCCTCCTTCGCAGGCCGATCATCGTTATCAAGGTGAGCCGTTCCTTAATTCCCGTTCGAAACATTTTGCAAAGTAGAAGGAGCCCTATTAAAAAATCGTTGAACCGCGAACCTCGTCCTGCATTGTTGCTTGCAATCCGATTATCACAACCAAGAAAAATCCCTTTTTAGTCGAAGCAAGGAATAAGATCGTCCAATAGAGTCCTTGGCTATTGTAGTCAGAACCATCGAGACGATGCCCCCTTAAGACGCTCTGCAAAGCGAGCAGCGTTGAACTACGTGAAACAGAACCGATCGCAATCCGTCACATAAATATGGTAAACTATTGAAAATAATGAACCGGCTGAAACAAATAGTTGCGGAGGCTTGTACCCTGAAAAGCTCGAATAACGAACGCCGGAAGGAAGAGCGCGAAGGTCAAGGGGTTGGCCGTGGACGACAGCAAATCTCCGCTTTACGATTGCGGAGAGAAACGCGTGGGGGTGGTGACCAGGACCGATTCCAATAACTCCTTTGGATTTCATCGGCGTGACGGCTGGACATATGTAACCCGGCGGTGCGTCGTCGAATTTTACGAGGCCGTTCGGGATTCGCGTTAACGGGGTGTTAACAGGAGTAGCGGACGCAACAACAACGCGGCTATCTCCGCGGTTCTGCTGCGTGTGCGTAAACGTCCGCTTTACGAGCATTCGCGTTACCGTAATTTCACACGTTGTCCTCGTAAATACGTGCCCGAGGTCGAAAATAATCGGACGTGCATCTGGAATTTTCATGCGGCTCCTCCGAACGTTATTCGTCGGCCGCCATTTTGGCGAACGCCGCGTAAGAAACGCGGACGCTCTGCTTTGAATTCGCGCGTTCTCCGATCGTTCGCGCCACACGACTTCAGCACAGAGAGATCCGTAGGTGATTAACAGCCGATCACGGCTCTTGTGACTTCTCTTAATTTGCTGCACATTATACATTCGGCTTACGAATGCCCTTTATAAGACAGGAACGAGATGGATTCTACCCTCTGACAGACACTCTGTTTTATTCTTCCAACGATGGCATCATGTAATGAAATCTAGGTGTGCCAAAAACAATATATTGCAATTACATAATAATAAATAATAACTTATATCTCGCTCGGATACATTTTTATCCAGATCAATTTTTATTCTTTATTAAATATTTATTCTTTATCTCTTGTCCATCTTCAGTCGTGCAAACAGGATTATGTTGAACTCTGATAACTCTGACGGTAACAAAGTTTTCGAACTGAAATTTTTACAGTAGTTTGAATACACGAGAATTAGGTCAATCCAATTTACAAAAAAAAAGAGTTGACAAACTAATTTGCATATTATTCGAATCAGCGCAAACAATGCTATGAAAATCCATATTTTCCAAATTTTATCTAGAAAATTACTGACAATTGATTCTTGCCTGAATGGGCTCTCCTAAATTGCACATTGATCGACGACATTGCAGAATTTTACCAAGAAAGCTTCGTAAACTCTTCGACTTGTCCTAATCTCTGTGCATCATATTTCTCCTGAAGTGTCCTGGACCCATAGCATCCGATTTACATAAATTCTTCTCTCATATGGGGGGTTAATTTTCGAGCACTTCCGCGAGCGTTCTTCGCGAGACAGAAAAAGAGGACGAAGCTCGGTCGAATTCCGGGCTGTTGTAAGAAGTCGTTCGGAGCGAAAATCGGCTGGATCGATCGGCCCTCCTCTCGAGCCCACCCCGAGGACCTCCAACCCCCCGTTTGCGAGAACGGCGCTCGGTTCCTTTGTTCTATTTGTTGTACGCGCGCGTACGATACGGATACGGGCAAGGAGGATCGTAAAAGCCGCGGCGCTCGCGTGATCGTTACGAATTCGTTATTGCTCTTGTTAACGCCCCTCGCTGGAAGCCTTGGACAAACCTCGTAAAATTTCAGCGGCGAGGCCCGCGTAAAGCATCGTCGAAAACGCGGCCGAACCGATCACGTGACGGATAAGGAGACCCAGCCCGGGTCTTCGGGAACGACGAGCGGCCTCTCTTTAACCGGTGCCGGCTCTCCTCTTTTTTCACCGGTTTATTTCCCTCGTGGCCCTATACTCAGTATGATGCGTCGGCGGCAATTCCGAGACGCCGCGCCGGTGATAAGACAACGATCGCGATCCCGCGATTTATAATTTTCTGCAGTTCGCGCGGCTCGATCCTCGGCCGATCGCTATCGTGTCGCAAACCCCTAAGGTTGCTGCCAACGCTGCTGCCCTAAAACTACCCTCCGGAACCTGATTACATGGTTTGACAGAACGTGCCAACCTGCGCGCCAACTTTTCACTATAAAACAGAAGGCAATTGCATAGCAAGTTGTGCCGATTCCGTAAACGATAAGGTGGCCATATTGTTCACGAGTTCGGAGGGGACAGCTTCGGACGACTCTAACGATTTCTGCGACAGTGTATTCTCGGTGCAGTTATTTATTTTTAATTTAATTAATCACCCTTGATTTCAAATTTTGTATTTTATATTTAATGTTTAATATACGGATTATACTAATTTGAGTACCTATACGTAAGCGCCTAAAATTGCATCGTGCGAGGTCAGAGGTGGCCAGGGGACAGATTAGATTACATAATTCGACCGTCAAGAAGAAAACAACAAATTAATAAATCGATCTTGCCGCGTGATCTTTAATTATGGTAATAATATAAATTATGATAAATATAGTACAATTATTGTAACTAGTAAAGGTGCCCTACGAACGATTACCATACTACTACGTAATAAGGCGTGTAATATCCCGATAAATGCAGTCCAGTTACTTTTAAAAGTTGCTCGTAACGCACGGCAGTTCTCGTGTTAATTTGTACGATTCGCATGGCTCGACTGCCAAGTCCGTTTCTAATCGCAGCACGTTCTGTTTGCAGGCACACCGATCAACCGGCTGCCGATCATGGCAAAATCGGTGCTGGATCTGTACGAGCTTTACAACCTGGTGATCGCCCGAGGCGGGCTTGTCGACGTAATTAACAAGAAGCTCTGGCAGGAAATCATCAAGGGCCTCCACCTGCCATCGAGCATAACTTCCGCTGCGTTCACTCTGCGCACTCAGTAAGTAGATCGTGAACTTTCTCATCCGGGACCCTATTCCCGATAGAGGACCGTGCCTGCTCGCCGCTGATTCGCATACAATGAAAGCCCATCTGAGCATGAAATCCGCGCCGATGACTAATAAGAACGACCCGGCCCTTCGTGCTCCTAAGACTTCCGAGGAGCTGCCCTTCCTTCCTCACGACTCAACGCGGACGAATGAGGAAGCTGTCGGGGTCTCCAGCCTCTGTGACAAAAAAGGCAAAGTCGAACGAAATCAGCTGCTACGGAAAATAACAGAGTAAAAAAGAGCGGAGGAAGGGTGGCCCTCTGGTTTCAGAGAAAAGAAAAAGGAAACAGTGAGAAGATTCAATGAAACTAGAAATATTGGTGCACCAATGACAACTTGCCCAAATTATTAAGGAACGAGAGAACATTATGCTTGACCCATCCGTTTTGAAATCGACGCAGAGAATGTTTATTTTGCATGACGATCCGCAATCGAATTATTACTAGTCCCTAAAAAATGCACTGCCGAAATTAAAAACGGCAGGAACACTGGAAGAATTAGGAACTTTCGACTTGCTAAAAGTACAATTGCAAATAAGGAGAAATTCCTCAGCGGTTTCTCTTTCTTACAAAAGATTTCAGGATATTTTTATCGTCCCTAAATATCCACAATTTATTTATTACTGTCCTAATTTTATGAATTGAATAAGCCCCCACTTTATGTTTTGATTACGTACATATATGAAATTTCACTCTGATCAAATTGTACGTCTATTACATCTAGACGTCGCGATTGCTATGGGTGAAAAGTACATATCTACGTTATCAACAATTATCATGATAATTTTGCGGATTAAGAGGAAACGCTAACATTTTAGAGGGCAGATAATTCGTTGCTTCCCGAAACTTCAAAGTACCACAACTTCGGATGGAAGTGCTTCAGCGTGTCATTCATTTCACTGTTTCTAAAAAAAAAATCGCAGCGATCTATAGCAACCGGTGAACGCTCGTCTAAAAATTTAGTCGAAACGGCAATGCGCGATTGTGTCCCATTGATTTTTAACGAGGAGGTTGCGGCGGCAGCGTCGTAGGCGGGACGCGGGATCAAAACGAAACAATCGAGGTGGCAGGGGACATCAAAGCGGGCCGGACGTCTTCCGGACAGCCGTTGTTTGGAGAACGCTATCATCATTACCAGTAGAACACACTGTTCGCTCGGGAATTGTTTGTGTGCTTAAGATGGCGGCTTGTATCGGGAGCGTCGGCGTGTTCTCCGCGGAACGAAAATATACGGAGCGGCCGCGGCACAAAAGGGACCCCGGCACACAATATTAGCGTTCCGTGACCGTGCTCTCTGGCCTGCGAACACTCGGGAACACTGTGGAAACCGAGGCTCGTGCCGCTTTAACCCCATTCGTCACCTGCCAGAGGAAACCGCCGACGCCTTTCCGCGCCACGAGACCCCACGTCTGACCGATCGAACGCCGGGTGTCAAAACAAAGTGTCCAGTGGCTACGGAGATTCGGCGAAACCCCGGCTCTCTTCTCACACGCCGGAAGTACTCCGAAAAATACGAGACAATTTCTCGGAATCAAAGTCTTGCGCCACTAAAATTAGTCGCCGCTTCCGGGTGCATGCTGCATATGCTTCGCAGAGTTGTTCCGAGGGGTTGGGAAACAGTTGTGATATCGGTTTTTTCAGTTCTTGAAACAATTTAGAAGAACTAAAATGTTCTGTTCTATATCGGTTTCGTTTTCGATTCTTCAGAACCGTACAATCGGTTCTGTAACTGTTTTTCTTCGATTCTGAGTTTCGGTTACGGATCTCGGTTCTCGGTTCTATTTCATATAACAAATACATTGTAGAGTAATTTCCGGATGGTTGCGAACGTGCCTCGCGAATTTTTCACGTTCTTTATTTTCCTTGTTTTTTTTTTACTTTTCAGTAGTTATTTAAAGGATCTTTGAATAAGAGCGACCGGTAGTTATTTGTAACTAAAACGCGTTTAAATTTAAGCAATTTAAAAAGTGGTCTTTTGACGTAGTTTCATAGACTGCATAGCATTAATCCACAAATCACCGATGAACCGAAAGATGGTCGTTCGTCTGATATTATGTTTCATGCATAATCATGAACGATCGTACCAAAAGTTACAACAACAATTCGTCGAATTTTTCAAATTTAAACGCGTTTTATTTACCTATCTCCGTGCAAAATGAAACTTATCAGTCAAACAAAGTAAAAATTAAATGCACAAAGTTATCTCTTCCCTTAACAATTTCAGTAAATGCACGAAAATGCATGAAATGCACGCGATATATGATTGATCGTTGCACGACTGTTGCATTAATTTATAAACAAGACAATCGTCAGTTGATCAAGATTGATCCAATATATTTGATCGAGGCTGGGCCAAGGATCGCGCCACCGATAACGAAAGTGTATCAAAGTCTAAAAACGTTCGCAAGCATTGTTCGGAGTACCGATAATTCCGTTTAAAAATTAGCCCCCGATGCGAGCGCATCACAATGATCCGTCACGACAGTTGAACAGGGCTGTCCGACGTGCGCGCCTCGGAGCATTTAAAAACGATGTGCCAAGACGGTCCGAGAATGGATCTAGCTTATCGACGCGTTTGACGGGAACAGGAGTCAGGCTGTCTCTAGCACGGGAAAGTTAATACGAATTTGACGGCCGATTTCTCAGTCCGGGCTATTTCCGTGGAGCGATTCGCGACGCGTCTTGGCTCCGCAGGGCAGGATGAAATTAATTGAGGGCCAGAGAGAGATTTGTCTGGACGTAGGGTACCGTTTCGCGCGAGAGTACATCTCGGCCAATTGCGGGGAAAAACAAACAGCCTGGCCGGCTCGGCCGGGGCACGTGCACGCAACAGCTGTTTTCTTTCGCGAAGGCGTTTAATCGTCGTCCACGGACGATCTCGCCCGCACAGAGCTGTTTGTGCTCTCCGCGAACCGAAACCGTCGACGTTACATTCGATGTTACATAATAGCCAGGAACGAGCGTCATTAGGCTACCGCAGAATCTGGGCCTCGGAGATCGTCGTCGGAGACAAAGGCAACTTTTAAACGATTCCGTCGGCGCGGCTGAGTCCGCGGCTGAATCCGCCAGGTTAATTTGATTAACGAAATCGACGCTGCGGAATTGCTATTATCGCCATTTCGGATCCTGCGAATTCTAGGAAGATTCGACTCGCGCGATTGCGAGCGTTGCAATTTTTATTCTCGAGAAGAGGGATCCTGGTTGACGAAGACGTCGTTAAAAATGATTACACGTCACCGAAGTGCATCTAAAATATTCTAAGAACGTCGCAGCGGAGAGACCGTCTTTCCGACGAGGGATTGATTCCCCACGCTTCCTGCTATCTTTCCAGCGATTATGCGAGGATAATGGAAACGCGAGGAAAGGGGGGAATCGAGGGAGACGGTGGGCGAACGCGGATTACACGTGAAAATAACCGCGCGACGCTCGGTGCGTGACGCGCGACAGAACGTCGCGACTCGTCGCGTCGGGACGTCGGCGCATTCATCATTCCGGCAACCGGTTATCCGCCGAGGGACAGGGACAGACGTAGGAAACGGGAACAACGCGAAAAGAGACGCGCCGATGGCGAATCGCTACGACTATATCGAGCCGCCGCGCGCCTCCACCGTGTAATTATTTATACCGCGAGGGAGGCACGTGTGCACAGCGCCGGGACAGCGAACACGGCCGGACACACAATCAAAGAGAAACGAGCATTGTTCAGCATAGGATCCGGATGGTTTCGACAAATTCGACCGGCTCCGCCGGTGAATTATTCCCGAGTGCGGCCAACGGGCAAACGGTCGCGAGCCACGGCAGGCCCCACGAAGTCGTTGAATGGGGGAAGATGAACGGCTCGAATGGTTTTTGGCAGCCGTCGACTTGTAAATAAGACATTGTCAAGCGTGAGATGGACAGTATTTCTGTTCGCGAGCACTCCAGATCGTCGTGAACGGATAAAAATACAGCCCCCGGCTGCTGGCTCCGCTGGCTGGCTGCGACCGGTGGTCGTACGATGACTACAATCATTCGGAATGGCTCCGCTGCTTTTACTCGGCCGATTAATGTCACGGCGACGGGAGTTAACGAGGACCGACTCAAAATGTTTTCGGACAAATGTGCACCGAATGAAGACGCACCATCCCGGAGCCCGATCTGTCGCGCCGCTGCCAAAAGCCGGGGCGGCTGCGAATCATCCCGGTGATTCTCTTGATTGCCCTGTAATTGACAGCCGCGGTGGATTCCCCAAATTTTAGAATATAAAGTTGTCGATCGGACTGCGGATTTTGTTGATGTATCGGGAAATTGTGTAGTTGCAATTTAAAATGGTAAATCGATTAAAAGCGACACGCCATTAATATATGTCGATGTATTGTTTTTAATCGATTATAATTATCACGGAAAGAAAGAACTTGCTATTCAGTTTCTATTTCGTTTGCAATTGATGCAGACAATCGTGATCGACGATTCGCCGACGTGTGGCCAGAGAATCGAAATTGGGTTGCAGATTTTTCGACGCGATCGGAACACTTCGTCTGCTAAATTCATTTGAACATAAATATCCACGTTTGTCGGATGAAATTGTAAAGAATCGATCGCTAGTCCGGCGTCCCCAATACGACGTAGCCAAATCTACGAGGGAAGACCTCAAAGAAGATACCAATCTCGAATCACTAGCTTACTAATGCAGATCTTTATACGAAATAAAAAATTGTTCCACTTAATAGTAAGAAACATAAATTAGTTGAAAAAAGTCTTTCTTCCCTCAATAATTCTAACAAGTTGAGAATAACAATATCCTCAAATTCTTCCAATAACCTTGCAATTTTATATTAGTCCGATTCAATCTCATCATAAACGCATGAAATCCGCAGTCCACTAATAAGACAGCACCCCATTGGATCAGAATCGAGTGAAAGCTATGGAAAATTTTTGCAAAGACAGGAAGCGATTTTCCGTATCTAGCCAGA